GTGTGTGTGTGTGTGCTTGCTTTAGCTAACAACATAAAACTTTGAAAACTTGATCCAGATGTACTTGAGTTTAGAGTTACACTTGTTAGTAATACTTTCTGAAAAAATTTCTATTGCTGTGAAGCATTAAGCCCTTCCAAAGTACTAAATGTGATGGGAAATATACACAGACAACATGACTAGGCAGTTATGGAACTTACATAAACAGTGGCGTTTCCATATTTGTATATTTTCATCCTGTATATTTAATTACATCTGGTAGCCTACCCTGAGGCTTATTTTATCACCCTACTTGTCCCATAAAGAACCTTGAGATTTCTTATTGAAAGAAACAATGAAAATGCTAATTAGTTATATTTTTCATCATAATCTTTTTCTGATACTAAAGGATCCCTCTCCCTTTCCTGTTCCTGTACTGCATTCCACTTCCAATGAGTCTCATTGTCCCAAAGCTATCATTTTTAGACTTTTAATATTGTTTTCTGCTCACAGGGCTTAATAACTACTTTTTAATGGATTCTGTTTACTTTGGAGGCAGGCATTTTGGAAAATTCAGCTTATATTTGGTCAGGATTAAAAACTTCTATGTGTCTTTGGGGCCTTTTTTCTTAGAAAATTAAAATTGTTTAATCTTTTGACTGAAAGAGGAATCAAAATGATTCTTTTTTTAAATTAGACACTTGAAATCTGAAAGGGATCACAACAGAAGACAATCTTGCATGTATTTAAATTTGTAGACAGAATATTTAATGTAAATAATTATTTTAGTTCTTTTTATTATTTTTTTTACCTGCTTTAATAGCTATCCACCAAACCCTATAAGTCAATGGGGGAGAAGGGGGACGTATGTAATAGTTTTAATAAGAAAAATTTTTAAAAGAAAGAATAAGCATGGAGTACAAGTTGTACAAACCTTTTGAAAGCTTCTTTTTTAAACTTCAAATTATCTCCATTTCTCTCCTCTCTTTAGTCAAGAAAAGCCCATCTAAATAATGATTCAAATAATGCTAAATTCAATACCATGAAAGGGATCTTATTTATTCACCAGGGACCCAGTGCATGAATTTGTGCACTTTGAAAGGAACTGTGGGCTGTGAGGTTGTGGTGGGCACAGGAGCAGGTCTCTGCCCATCCTCCATGCCCCTCCCATCACTGCCCCTGCCCCGGCCCCATTCTGCCAGCAGCCCTATTCCCACTGCCACTGCTCCCACGCACTGATGGCACTGGCCCCAATCGCTCTGCGCCATTCATGGATGCAAGTGGGGCCATCGCTGACAGGAGGTGTGAGAGGTGGCTACTGGCCTCGAATGACCCTTAGGACCAAGGGAAGGTGCCAAAGCCCTGAGCAATCAGGGCCAGCACCAGGCGCCAACAGCTGGTGAACAGGGCTGGCACCAGCAGTGGGTATGTGCGACAGATGGAACCGTGGTGCATAGGAGGAAAGAATTTTCAGTAACCACCATAGGCTCACCCCAATGACAGTAACTGTTGCCCCACCTTGGTCTGGCACCCCTGCCCACCTGCTCCACCATCCCACCGTGGCCAATGCCCACAATGTTCCACACTCTACTGCCTACTGCCAACACCCGCCATATTCCATGCATGCACCCTGGTGGTCACTGCATGTCATGGTGACTGGTTGTTCGGTTGTTCCACCATTCAGTCTAGGTCTATTTACATATTAGGGTTTTATATAGAGAGTTGCTCATTTAACCATGTGTTGTTCTTTTGCCTCTAGTACATATGTAGATGACCTGGTCACACAGAGTCATCCTATATAATAAAAGCCTAATATGCTAAGTGTCCGGTCATCTGGTGATTGGTCCACTGTTCAACCAATCAAAGCATAATATGCTAATGATATGCTAAGGCAGCTCAACTGCTCACAATGGCATGCACTGACCACTAGGGGGCAGACAACCAGTCAACAAGTTGCTATGACATACAATGACCACCAGGAGGCAGATGCTCTGACTGGTAGTTTAGCTTGCTGCTGGGGTCTGGCTGATCTGGAATGAGCAAAATGGGCCAGACATGCCCAGGAGCCCTCCCATGGTTCCTTCCTAATCCAATCATTCACTGGCAAGGTCCCTTGGCCTGGCCTGCACCCTCCCGTAATCTGGGACCCCTGGGGGGATGTCAGAGAGCTGATTTCAACCAAATCCCGCAGGTTACTCCCCTTGAGAGGGCGCCAGATTCAGGGCTCACAGCTGGTGAGCATTATTGCAGTGGCACAAGCCTCTCCTGATCAGGACTTATAGGGCATAAACCCACATCAGGCTCATGGGGCTGGGTGAGCAGGAGTGGCAGGTAGGAGCTGCAAGGTATTGGCCCAATCCACCCAGGCCAACCTGAGAGATCCCACCCATGCATGAATTTGTGCACTGGGCCTCTAGTTTCCTCATAATGAGGATACTGGTAGACCAAGATAGAGGAAGATGTCTGAGATGTTTTGAATTTGGCTAAATATAGATAGAGATTTTAAAAAGAAAGATGCATTTTATTTTAGATATGATTCATTTACGTGTGAATGAATATTTATCTCCTACAGAAGAATTTAAAGAATAGCAGTCATTAAATAAGAAACAATATTCAGAGAACAACAGTCATCATCTACAACAAACTTTTATAGTCCAAAAAGAGGCAAACAGCCCTAACCAGTTTGGCACAGTGGGTAGAGCATCAGACTGCAGACTGAAAGGTCCCAGTTTTGATTTCTGTCAAGGGCACATCCCCAGTAGAAGGTATGCAGGAAGCAGTTGATCAAAGTTTCTAACTCTCTATCCCTCTCCTTCCTCTCTGTAAAAAATCAATAAAATGTATTTTTTTAAAAAAGAGGCAAACAAGAAAACTACTGTGACAGGAGGTTGAGATAACAAAAAAGAAAAATCTATCGTCACCACCTTCTTAGTACATATGTGACCAGCAAGACAAGATTAATACAAATGAGCATTCTCTTCATTTTTTTCCATCTTCTGAATTCCCTTGCACTTTATCAACATAGCTTTGATCTCCACCTGCCTGGTTTTAGTGATTGCTACACATTCATGTCTCTTAGGCCCATGAAAGTAACAACTTGAGTCTGTTTCATTCAGGTATAACACCAGGCAGCAAGCCCCACAGCAGAGGGCCATAACAAGGATGAAATGAATGAATAAAGCAAGGTACCAGGTAAAATAACACATGCTGCCACACACATGGGATCATTGATCAACTGTCAGATTACAGAGGCTTCTCTGGCCAACCAGGCCACTTTATCTTCCAGCCCACCACCTCTCTAACCACTTGTTTTGCTTCATTTGCAAAGCCTTCATTGCTACCTTTTATTATATTAAGTAGGAATTTTGTAAGCTCTTTTGGAGAAGGGAATTTGTCTGTTTTATCCACTGCTGTGACAATCCCTTTATTTTAGAGCAGTACCTTAAACAGAGAAGTAGTTAAATATTTGTTGAATAAAGAAAGAAGGTTGAAGGGAATAGTGATGGCTTTAATTTGCAATAAAAATGGATTCATGACAAATCATTCAGATTAAGATACCCAGACACTAGGTCATAAAAGGCAGGTTCCCTCAGTCTTGAGGCCCCTGATGGATATGTTCACATGGTAGTACCAGTTGGTGTATCTGTTGGACTATCAATAATTCCATGTTGGTTAGTGTCTTCAGATAAAATCCCATAGTTCACATCGAAAGATCGAGATTGACCTCGCTTTTTGAACAACCTATTTATAAGCAGTTTTCCAAAGGAGACATATCCAAGCAGCATTTAGATGGGACCCTAAAGAGTTGAGATTCTCTAAGACTATGCATTTCTGAGTCCTGAACTGAAATTAAGAGTCCCAAGGCCTCTACAGCTATTGAATCATTGAGGATCCTAGGGTTTCTGTGTCTCAGTTCCTTCTCCCTGGATGGAGGTGTAAGGGGTGTAGAAGAGGTAGACTTGGATTATAATATCCCATCCAGCTGTAATGCTTCTAGATTCTACTATGGTCAGTGAAAAAGGATTTGACTCAGAGGAAAGGGGGGGAAAGGGGAGGGAGCAAGATCATCATGCTCTAACTACATATTCCCTCTACACACAACTATTCACTGACATCTGTTGACATTTCCCCTAGAAATGTTCCCAGTGCATCAGTAACAAGCAATTTCTATATCCACCTCTATAAAATGAAAGAGTAAGCATTTTGACTTTAGTATAAAATTACTAGCTATCTTTTCTCTCAATTTTTATCAAACTGTCATATGTACATAACTGTGATTTGGGCTTCATACTTTCTCCCTATCCTTTGGTTATAACTATTCACATTTTCGTTATTGAGTATCAGTAAGCCTGTTTGTCAGCAACATTTGTAAGAAAAAACAAAACAGGTAACCTATATGAATGCTGGTTTTATATCAGATATTAAGGATTGTATTTAATACCCTACATGGAAATATCCCTTGCTGAATGTTCATATGAAAGGTTTTATTTATCTCTTAATAACATAATTAGGCTAACTAAGGAACTAATACTAACTTGGAGATAATTTAATGAAACTCCAAAAAAGCATAGTTAAATTTTATGTAGATAATAATGCAATAGAAATGATACTATTTAAAAGAAAATGATAAAATCCTATATGATGTATTAAATATAAATTAGCTTTAATTATAGTTTATTGTCTCATTTTCACAAATATAATCTCTAACTCTGCTAGAACATGTTATAACTAAGTAATTAATTTCTTGCTAGAACATGTTATAACTAAGTAATTAATTTCTTTGATGCAATAGTAACCTTCCTTCATTCTTCTTTTTTAAAGTCAAGGAACACAAACATATTTCACAAGTTTCTGTATGTTTTCTCTAAGTGAAGTTTGTTTTCATTATGTCAATTATTTTCCTCAAAGGTATGTGGAGTAATAAATGAAATATAAACAAATATAATAGTGATAATACATCTGTTGCAGCACACAATAAATTAAATTATGAGGCCATTCAAAAATTAAAAATTAGCAATCTTGTGCTTGCTTCAACAGTACATATACTAAAATTAGACCAATAAAGAGGAGATTAGTTTGGCCCCTGAGTGAGGATGACATGCAAATTTGTGAAGTGTTCCATATTTTTAAAGAACAATTAAATAAAATGGATGAAATAGAAGCAACCAAAATACAGATGCAAATTTTAAAATAATAGTAATAAGGATGCTCAGGGACCTTAAAGGAAGAAAGGATGACCTCAATGAGAACTTAAACAAAGAGATAGCAAGCACTAAAAATAACATGAAAACCATTGGAAAAAATTAGTCAAGCAAGGCTGGTGTGGCTCAGTAGTTGAGCATCAAACTTTAACCCATGTACCAAGAGGTTACTGGTTGGATTCCCAGTCAAATCACATGCCTAGGTTGCAAACTCAGTCCCCAAGAGTGGGTGTGCAAGAGGCAGTCAATCAATGTGTCTCATCAATATTTCTATCTCTTCCTCTCCCTTCCGCTCTTCCTCAAAAAAAAAATAAAAAATAAATAAATCCATAAACATATTTTTAAAAAGAATGAATAAAAAATTCTATATAATAAAAGCCTAATATGCTAAGTGTCCAGTCAGCCATTCAACCAATCACAGCATAATATGCTAATGATATGCTAAGGCCATTCAACCATTTGCTATGACATGCACTGAGCACCATAGGCGGGTAGATGCTTCAACCAGTAGGTTAGCTTGCTGCTGGGGTCTAGCCAATCAGAACTGAGTGAGATGGGCTGGGCATGCCCTGGAGCCATCCCACAGTGCCTCCATAACTGGACAACCTTCCACATCTCTCCCTGGCCCTGATCATGCACCAGTGGGTCCCTCGGCCTGCCTGTACCCTCTCGCAATCCAGGCCCCCTTGGGGGATGTTCAAGAGCCAGATTTGGCCCAATCCTTCAAGCCAGGTCAGGGGACTTCACTGATGCACAAATTTGTGTACTGGGCACCTAGTAAAAAATATAATATCTGAAATGAAATGAAGAGTACACTAGAAGGAATCAATACCAGGTTAGATGAAGCAGAGGATCAAAGCAGCAAATTAGAGTATCACATAACAGTAAACACCCAAGCAGAGCATCGAGAGAAAGAGAGAGAGAGAGAGAGAGAGAGAGAGAGAGAGAGAGAGAGAGAGAGAATTAACAGAAATAGGAAGCCCTGGCTGGAGGCTCATATGGCTGTAGCATGTTCCATGCACCAAAAGGTTTCAGGTTCAATTCTCCGTCATGGCACATACCTTGTTTGCAGGTTTGAATTCCAGTCAGGGTGTATCTGGGAGGAAACCATATACTTGGGTGGTAATTTTAAAAAATTTAAATTAAAAATAAGAAAAAGAGGAAAGTCTAAGAAACCTCTGGGACAACATGTGCATCATAGTGGCACCAGAAGGAAAAGAGGGTGAGCAAAGGATAGAGAAACTGTTTGAAGAAATAGTGGCTGAAAACTTCCCTAATCTGGTGGGGGGAAAGTCACCCAAGTTCAGGAACTTCAGAGTCCCAAATAATATGAACCCAAAGAGAACCACAATGAGACACATCATAATAAAAATGGCAAAGGCAAAAGGAGAATCTTAAAGGCAACAAGAGACAGACAATTACCTACAAGGGAGTTTCAATAAGGCTATCAGTGGATTTCAACAGAAACATTTCAGGCCAGAAGGGATTAGCATGAAGTATTCAAAGAGGTGAAATGCCAAGACTACAACCAAAATTACTCTAAGGATATTTAAAATTAAAAGCAAAATGAAGAGCTTCCCAGATTTAAAAAAAAAAAATTAAGGCTAAAACAGTTCATTACCAACAAACCACTATTGCAAAAGATCACATTGTGGACCAGTAGTTTTATTGCTACCTTTACCCAGTGGCCAGATAAGTTTCTATTGAATGAGTACAAAAAGCGTTTTACATAAATGTTAAAGGTATGCTTTAAAATTAAATACCCATTGCATTTTGAAGTTATTACATGTTCTTACAAGCTAATATGTTTTTAAAATATGAAACTTTGTAAAACACCGTGTAATATGAAGTGAGAATTCTTGTGATCCGTCCTCAATGTGTTAAAATAATTGCTTTAAGAAGAAATAGAAAGGGTGGGGGGGGGCATAAATATAAAGAAAAATGGCAATAAATATATACTTATCAATAATGCCCTTAAATGTAAATAGCTTAAGTGCTCTAATCAAAAGACAGGGTATCTGAGAGGATAAGAAAACATGACCCATATATATGTTGTCTACAAATATCTACCTCAGAACAAAAGATTCACACAGGCTCAATGTGAAGGATGGGGAAAATTTCCCATGCAAACGGAAACAAACAAACAAACAAAAAACTGGGATAGCAATGCTCCTATCTGACAAAATAGACTTCAAAACAAATGACATAAAAGAGACAAACAAGGTCACTACATAATATTAAAGGAATTATTCCAACAAGAGGATATAAACCTGATGAACTTATGGATCCAATATAGGAGCGACTAAACATGGGGGGAAATCTTGGTGGACTTTAAAGGAGAGATGAACAGAATACAGTCATAGAAGGGGATTTTAACACCCCACTGTCATCAATGAATATGTCTCCCAGACAAAAGAAAAAAAAAATCAATAAGGACATAGCAACCTTACATGAAAAACTAGATTGGAAGTGTTTAATTGCCATTTAGAGAATATTTCATCCCAAAGCAGCAAAATATACCTTCTTCTCAAGTGTGCATGGAACATTCTCAGATAGGCTGTATGTTAGGACACAAAATAAGTCTTAACGAATTATAATCGTTATATAATTAATTGAAATTGTATAGCAGAAATAGAGTCTTGGATACATAGAAGAGACTGAAGTCTTTCAGAGGGATGGAGGAGTGGGGGACAGGATGAAAGAAGACGGAGAGATTAGTGAAAGAACCCATAGACACAGACAGCAGTGTGGTGGTGGCCAAAGGGAGGAAGGGCGAGGACTGGGTGGAGATGGGCAAAGGCTGTGGGGGAATGGGGCCATCTGTAATAGTACCAACAATAAAAATGACGTTTAAAAAATTGGCAATCTTTCAGATAAAGATTTTTTTAATGTGTTTGACAGTCCTAAAAATAAATTAAATCTATGTGTATTGAAATAGAATGTAAAATAGTTTAAGATCACTGTGGTGTACTGTTCTTTCTATTAGACATCAATGCATACAAAAAGCACAAAGATTTCAGGGGACCCGTCAAAAACTTACCCCAGCTCTCCACTCATATCACAAAAACTGGTCCTGTTGATCAGCCATTTAAATGAGTATTGAATGACACAACAGTCATTTTCAGAGAAACAAGGAACTAGATTATTTCATTGGGAAATGTGGTTGTAACATGTATCATTTAAGATTTGTTAGCTATATGTAACACAAAGCCCAATAAAAAGTACTTGAAAAAATAGTCATTTATTTTCTCTCTCAGTAAGAACTTTGGAGTTTGGCATTCTCATGGTTGATTTAGTATCTATAATGTCTGTTCCACTATTCTGCTCCACCATCATTTGGAATGTCAGTGATAATGCTGATTAAGATTTTAAGATGACTAAAGTAGTTTGTAAGTATCATGTCTTCATAGAGAAACTTTCAAATGAATAAAGAAGTCAGTCTTTTCATGTGTCAGAGACTTTCATCAGACTCTCCAGATATCTTGTTGGCCAAAACAGCTTCATTATCCCATTCACAAATCACTTGCTGGCAAAGGCAAATGGAGTTCCCATGACTGACTTAAAGAACAAAATGGTTAGCCCAGCTGGCATGGCTCAGTTGGTTGAGCATCATCCCATGCACCAAGAGGTCGCCAGTTTGATTCCAGGTCAGGGCACATGCTTGGGCATGCAGGAGGCAGCTAGTCAATCTCTCTCTCTCCCTCTCTTTTCCTCTATCCGAAATCAATAAAAACATACTTTAAAAAGAATATAATTATCTCTTAAAACACTAGTTAGATAGCCTTTATTTGGAGAACAATACTATGCCATACCTGAGAAAAATTGGCCTTCTTTAGGAAAGAAGAAAGGGACATGATGATGGACAAAGAAAACACCAATATCTGCCGCAAAATTATATGTGACAACTTTCCACCTGAAAAATCTGATAAAATTCTGACTTTTAACCAATTCTGAAAGCAGATAGGCTAACTGAGGATTACTGCCTCCTCCCAGCAATCTGAGGCAAGTTCATATCCAACACCAAGCACAGTGCCCGTCTCTCAGTGCCTGTGTGATGAATAAATGAAAAGGGCCTGCAGTTGTTACTTTGTTTTCTCTAATAATGATATTTCAAGTGGAGATGACTCACTGGCATTTCTTAAGAAGCCAGCATGGGGACACACTAATAATACTGAGTGTCCTAGAGACTCTAGAGGGTCCAGTGCAGAACAATGTCAGGGGAACTCAGAAGTCTTTTATTCTATGGGAAAAGGAGTAACATCAAGATAAGTCATTGAAAAGATGCTAGTAGCATAGTCAGTGCAAGAAGCAACCACTCAAAACAGATGTAAGTGCTATGTTTTATAATTTACTTAGTAAAGTATAAAAATGATATTATGACAGGCATATGTTATATGTACAACTTGAATGTGTATAACACAATTAGAACATTCTATGCTCAAAGATTATTAAGGAGCATGAAAATTTTGAAAATAGCTCTGCAAATCAATGACAGGATCAGATATGCCTACTTATTGACAAAAGCAAGTTCTGATACAAAAACTTAAATAAGGTAGAGGAGAACTCTGACTTAGCAAAATATTTTTTCCTTCTGGCATTTATTGAAGAAGAAAAATAAACTAGAAGTGGAAATAATATTTCAGAGATTCAACAGACTTGAGTTCTGAAAGATTAAATGTAGTGAAGAAATGAATGGTAGGAGTAGTGGAGTAAATCTAGTTGATTCTATTGCAGCTTGTATAAAATAACATGTTCTTTCCCTTTTTACTTGATTGTCTTTTTCTGGCTTCTTATTTGAGCCATTGTGATAACAGAGGCCATCTCAAAATCCAGCTTTTATGTAGTTAAAATAGTAATAATAAGAAAATGGAGTACTTCATCATCACCTAAAAGCAAGGGATTACTACTGATTTACTAGAAAATCTTTCTCAAGATAAGGCCGAATTTTGTACAAAGGATTGAACTCTTCGTGTGCATGCTAATATGGAGTAGCCTTACACCTAGGACCTTCAAATATAGCAAGGTCATCTTTGCTAATTTTTTTTTTTTGGGGGGGGGGTAGCGGGGAAAGATTCAAAGGGTCTTTATTCTTTTAGGTCCAGAGGAAAAATTCTGAAAGATGAAAAAGAAAGTATCACAAAGCATAGCATGATATTATTAGTCAAATAATAAAAATATATGTATATGGGTAGGATTTTATGCTTTAAGTTTCTGTAGTATATTTAGTTCACAATAGATCATAATTACACATCTTGCAATAGATGAAGATATCAGTAGAGGCATATCCAATTGTACTCTTGAGCTCCAAATGACTAAGTTGGAAGCATTCACACTCCAAAAAGGGACGATTCCGAGGCTGTAACGGGCTTAGTGCTATTTAAAGTAATGAAGCACTTTCTCTACTTTCTGGATTCACTTCACCAAATGATTTCCTCAGCAGGTCAGATATAGATTTGCAGTAAGTGGAAAACATTTTCCAGGAATAAAACAACTGATTCCTAAGGAGCAGCTAACTTAGCTTTTCCAAATAATACATTTTTTTATTTTGGTCTGACATGCCTTGGTTTCTCAGAAGGTGGTCACTGATAGTCTCAAACTCTCCCTGTCCTTGCCAGATCCTATACTTCAAGTGTACTGGACACTCCTGAGAGGGAGGGACTGCTAGCTGTGTGTCCCTAAGTAAGCTACTCAACTCCTTGTGCTTAGCTTCTTTGGCTCTAAAAGATTAATAATAGTACCTACCTCATGGAGCTGTGAATGCGGATTAAATCAGTGCTTTTTTAAAAAGGCTTGGCACAAAGGAAGTACTCAGTAAACCTCAGCCTTTATTATCCCTGTTATATAACAAAGCTTTCCCCTGGTATCAACATTGACCATTTTGCTCACCCTTTTTCCTTACAAGCAAAGCCTTGGTTCAGAGTGCCCACGTCTCTTAAATCTGAAGAGGAAACAGCTTTGTTTCTACTGCCTAACCCTTTTCAGTTTGGCCTCACAATGAGAAGAACTAACTGAAGCCATCTCATTCTGTGCATTTTACATTCATTATTCTTTTGGATTCTCAATAATACTGTGAAGGACATACAATATCAATTCTTATTAGACCATTTAAAAAAAAAAGGGGGGGGGGGACAAAAAAAATAGAGTAATGCTTTGCTTAATGGTTGTGCTGCTACCCAATGGCAGAGGGGTGTAAATGCCAGAGTTTAGAACACCCAGTGTTCTTTCAACTGTGTAAGCTAAGATAGTCTAAGATACCTTTGGAGCAAATGAAATCATTCTATTTATATTAACAAAAGTCCACGTTTTTTTCAGATTTCCCCAGTTTTCCCCAAATGTTCTTTTTCCGGTGTAAGATCCCATGCAGGATATGACATTCCGTTCAGTAGTCGTTTACTTACTTACTTTGAGTAAACCAGTTTCTCGGATGTCCTTATCTTTGATCATCTGACAGTTCTGAGGAGCACTGGGCCAGCATTTGATAGAATATCCCTGAACTGGGATTTGTTTGATGTTTTTTTTTTCTAATGATGAGACTAGAATTATGGTTTTGGGGGAGGATACTATAAAGGTAAAGTGCCATTCTCATCACATCTTTCTCCCACATTGCCTATCACCAATGACATTCACCTTGATTGGGGCTAGTGTTTGTCCCCTTTCAATACTATACTCTGGAGGTAAGTCAACACACACAATCACACTTAAGGGGTGGGGAAGATCTACATACTTTATTTGAAAATCTTTTGCATGGGAGATTTGCCTATTGTAATGTATATATTTATTCAATCATCTATTTATGTCAGTATGGATTCATGAATATTTATTTTATAGTGTGGGTTATAATCCAATGCTACTAATTTTGTACTCAAATCATTCCAGCTTTGGTTACTGGGAGCTCCTTCAGTTGGCTCTTCTGTCCTTCTGACATCCCCAACCATTGTGATTTTTTTCTGAGCTCTTTCTTTTTGTGTGTGGTGCAAGATGCTGCAGGCTCATCTTGCGTATTTATAGCCCTAGTCCTAAAGTAAGTCATTTCTCCAAGGAGCCCTGCTTCCTTTTTCTGGAACCAAGACCTGGGCTCTAGGTTCTCGCATTCTAATTATTGTGTAGCCACACAGCACTAACAAAGATGCTTCATTCTGGCTGCACCAATGTGAACTGGGAATTTTGGCAGAAGAGCTCAGCTCCAGAGAACAGTAACCCCCCAAATTACTTTCTTCTTTCAAAAGAATAGGTAAGCCTAAGCAGAAACAGATAAGCAAATAATTTCCATTATAAACTAAGACAAACCATCAGGTCTTCAGTATTGTAACCAACACAACCTACCCCGAAAATAAGACAGTGTCTTATATTAATTTTTTCTCCCAAAGTTGCGCTAGGACTTATTTTCAGGGGATGTCTTATCTTTCCATGCGCTAGGTCTTATTTTTGGACCTAGGATATCTTATTTTCGGGGAAACATGGTAGTTACAACAGAACTGCAGAAGGATGCTTATAATAACAGAGTCATTCTGGGGGATCATCAGGGAGAATACTGATAGTATCTTCTGCTTTGCCACATAAGAAAATACAGCATGGCGTATTCCTGAAATTCATTCATGATACCGAATGTATAGCCATGCCTGGCTACTACATGATGACAATCCTGACACAGATGATCATAGGTAACTATTTCTTCTCCATCTTCCTCTTTCAAAGATTTGTTTGTGATCAGCATGAAATCCCGCTTACCACACACTGCACAGCCAGTAAAGTTCAGCAAGAAAGATCCATTCTCCAGGCTAATATTACAAACCCCCTCCCCCAATTGGGATATTCCTTTTTCCATACAGTCTCCACACGTGGTGATGCCATTAACAAGGAAGTGTTCAAATATATTTTTATTAAGTTCAAGATAGCACACTCATTGTAGTGTCCCAGATCTCATGGCTTAAGCAACTGCAGGTAAGTAGAAGTTATTTTCAAGGAGACAAAGTGTTTTTTTGTTTTTGTTTTTGTTTTTAATTACAAGAAGCTCTTCTGGAATAAGAGCATATGTGAATTTCCTTCTTAGGTAATGAGAACTGCAGCAGATTGGTTAATATATTTCATCCTATTTTCACCAGCTTCCATTGTAAGAAGTCAGAGGTTTTGCAAGATAAGCCAACTTCCAGCTACATAAGAAGTTACATATTCTGGGTAGACATAAAGTGTCTCTTGATAGCTAGCATGGGTAGACACTGGTAAACCTTAAAGCTCAGAGCAGTTTGCAGCAAGGGCCCAGACACAGCACAGAGGAGCACTGATAAAGGTAATCTCTAGATATGGCTAAAGCAAGACTATGAGAAAGATGAACTTTCTCCCTCCTCTACAGGGCAGATCACCCTTACAGATTTGGTTGTTAAAAATTGGGCAGTTATCCACCTAACTAAACACTAAGATCAGTAAGCTCTTCTTAAAAGTCATTAGAACTGTCATGGTCCAATATATATATATATATTCCTGGATCAGTGCTGCATAAAATTTGTGCATTCGGGGGAGAGGGGCTCCAGTCCAGCCTGAGCCCTCTTGCAGTCCTGGGGAATGTCCCACTGATAGCTTAGGCCTGCTCCCTATGGAGTGAGCCTAAGCCGTCAATGGGAAATCCTTAGCACTGCTGCAAAGGCGGGAGAGGCTCCTGCCACCACTGCTCACTGACCAGCTGTGAGCCCAGCTTCTGGCTGAGCAGTGCTCCCCCGGTGTTGAGCATCTGCTCCCTGGTAGTCAGTGTGCGTCATAGCAACCAGTTGTTCTGTCTTTCGGGTGATTTGCATATTAGCCCTTTATTGTATAGGGAATATACATTCATGCAGGAGTCTGTCCAGATTCTTGCAAATACTTCTTTTCAGATTATATTTGACAATATGTGTATAATACTTGGAAGTTGATGTGATGATATCAGATGCCAGAATTTGGAAGTCGAGATAAATGCATGACCAAAAAGATAAAGAGAGAAATATCCAAATTCAAGTGTAGCCAACTCCTACTCTATGAATATTTGACATTGCAGATTCTGGTTTCATTTAGCACTACAGTGTCAACTCCATATCTGCTGTTATGAAAGCAGTTTCATTTCTACTCCACAGCTTTGAGTCCTGATAAAATGTGTTTTGTTCTACATATGGTAATAAGCTTTTTGAAAAAGCAATTTCTAAAAAATATTTTGACCAAATATATAGTATTTCTTTAATTGAATTTATTGAAATAAAATTGGTTAATGAAGTTCTACATGTTTCAAGTATACACTTCTATAATACATTGTTTGTATATTGTATTATGTGTTTACTACTCCAAGTGGAATCTCCTTCCATCACCATTTATCTCTCCTTTGCTCTCTTTCATCTCCCCTATCCCCTTCCTTCTGTCAATCACCATACTGATGTCTGTCCATGAGTCTCTTTTTTTCTTGGCTTACAACTCTCCCCTATTACAAAAAAAAAAAGATACCATTTTAACGGGAAGGGAAACTCTTTCTTCCTCTCTCCCTTCATGGTCAAGAATTGTCTGTCAGAATCTCTTTCTGCCTTCCCTCTGAGTCCCTTATAAGGAAAAGAAGCAAGAATTCCTAGACCCTAAAGAGCATATTCAAGAGACTGAAAAGATTAACCATTCCCCTCCTCCATAGTCACTCCTGCACAGTAAGCAAAAGGTAGTTAGAAAACTTCCTCTGGAACAAAGGTCAAGAGATTAGTCCCCAAGGAGATAGATAGATAGATGATCTTTAACTCAAACATGTTTGCAGTTCTGGAGCTCCGCATAAGAATATCTGGATTCCAAATGAAGATTGAATTGCAAATCATAATAAGCAATACACTAATCATGGTGTTTTCACCAAAATTAAGGGAACAGCCCTGGCCAGTGTGGCTCAGTTGTTTGGGCAACATCTGTTGCACTTAAAGGCTGCTGGTTGGATTCCCAGTCAAGGTACATACATGGGTTGTAGGCTTGATCCCTGGTAGAGGTTGAATAGGAGGCAGCTGATTAATGCTTCACTCTCACATCAATATTTCTCGTTCTCTCTCCCTTCTTCTCACTCTAAAAATCAACTTAAAAAATCACCATATCTTCAGGTGAAGCTTACAAAAATGACTAAGGCCTGGACCGTGTGGCCCAGTGGTTGAGTGTCAACCTATAAACCAGGAGGACATGGGTTTGATTCCTAATCAGAGCACATGCTCGGGCTGTGGGCTCAATCTCCAGTGTGGGGAATGCAGGAGGCAGCTGATCAGTAATTCTCTCTCATCATTGATGTTTCTGTGCCTCTCTCCCTCTCCTCTCTGGAATCAATAAAAACATACTTACAAAAAAGATTATGGGCAAATAAATACATAATCTTTACAAGTGATGAGATTGGGATTGAAATTTGCCTTTTAAAACACTTCACCTTTTTCAAACTTTATTTCTTTCAAAAGTATTTTTTTTGTTATTGAAGTTCAGCTCTTTAATCACACTATTAGTTACTATACTTACTATTTTTTAATATTTCAAGAAAATTTTTTAAATATAATGTTACATGCAATAAACATTAATATTTTAAGGAAAAAACATTTTAAATATAATATTGCCAAAATTGTACTAACATAGTATAATATCACAAAGGTTGTAGGAAATATTAAAAATCTATAAATAACAGGATTACTTCTATCATATTCCAAAACATTTTTTTCTGACTACTTTTGTTCATCAGTTTATGTTGTTTATTCTATTCCACAAATGAGTGAGGTCATATGATATTTATCTTTCTCTGATTGGCTTATTTCACTTAGCATAATGCTCTCAGGGGCATCCATGCTGTTGCAAACTTTAAGAGTTCCTTCTTTTTTACAGCAGCTTAGTATTCTATTGTGTAGATGAACCACAGTTTTCTAATCCACTCATCTGCTGATGGGCACTTAAGTTGTTTCCAAATCTTAGCTATGTAAATTGTGCTGCTATAAACATAAGGATGCCTATATCCTTTCTGATTGGTATTTCTGATTATTATGAATTATAATATTAAGTATGTCTTT